ATTATAAATATAAACAAGGATATTTTCTCTTTCCGTTAAAATACAAATATAAAATATTTAATTTAAAGGCAGAAAATAGTAGAAAATTTCAAAATCTAAAAAAAAAGATTAAAATCTGAAAAATTTCAGATTTTAAATTACATCTCAAGGGACGTTTATTTAATATTTTGTATGTTACTTTTATTTATTAAATATCCCGTTCTTTGCACTCAAACCATAAAATTCAGTTCAAGAGCAATATCGCAAAATAGTTTTAACGTGAGCATATCCCTTTAGAATTTACGATACAGAGTCTCGTGCGCTGGAGATAAAAATATTTTCTCTGTACAACGTTGCCATGGCTCGCTTTGAAAGCTTTGAGTCTGTTAATCAAATGTTCGTTAAAGTTTTACAAAATATGAAATCGATCACAAAACAAATTCCAAATTTCAAATTTGGGCTTCCAGATGCCCATATTCGCAGTAGGATTTCGTAATTCAAAATTCGATGGCTTTGTGTACCGTTGTTTGATCACAATGCGAGAAATATGCATACATTTATGCAGATTTTTCATTATTTAATTTCTTCAAATATAATGCAGGACTCTAACATTGGCAACAGTGTGTGAAAGTGAAACGGACATTTATAGTGAACTAACGCAAAATCGCAAACGAAAACAATAGTCCTTCAGGGACAAAGCCCCTTTGGAATACTAATTACGCAATTTTACCCCAAAACGAGGCTATTAGTTAGTATTAGGCTATTAGTATAGATTTCGCGTTAGCTCACTATAAAGGGCGTATCACTTTGCAAATTGTTGCCACCAAATATTATTAGTCCAAAGAACATTACCCCAGAAGGGTTATTAGTTTCGTTCTGGCTTTTGACTTTGATTGTCACTATATACGGCGAATCAATTTTTAAATTGTTGCCACCACATATTATCTCTCTGTGTCATATTTAAAAAAATTAAATAATGAAAATTCTGCATAAATATATGTATGTTTCTCGCACTGGGATAAAACAAGGGTACCTGGAGCAATCGAATTTTGAATAACGTATGTCTCCACTTGAATATTTGCATCCGGAAGCCCAAATTTGGAATTCATTTTATTATCTACTTCATATTTTGTAAAGTGTCGTGCCTGGAACTTATATAGAAACTTTAAATACTGATTAATATTGTTTTATTTGTTTTTTGTTGTTTTTAGAATGGCAACAAAAAGATTTTTCAATTTTTGTTGTTTTCAGAATGGCAACAAAAAGATTATTCAATTTTTGTTGTTTTCAGAATGGCAACAAAAAGATTATTCAATTTTTGTTGTTTTCAGAATGGCAACAAAAAGATTATTCAACTTTTGTCGTTTTCAGAATGGCAACAAAAAGATTATTCAATTTTTGTTGTTTTCAGAATGGCAACAAAAACATTATTCAATTTTTGTTGTTTTCAGAATGGCAACAAAAAGATTTTTCAATTTTTGTTGTTTTCAGAATGGCAACAAAAAGATTATTCAATTTTTGTTGTTTTCAGAATGGCAACAAAAGGATTTTTCAATTTTTGTTGTTTTCAGAATGGCAACAAAAAGATTATTCACTTTTTGTTGTTTTCAGAATGGCAACAAAAAGATTATTCAATTTGTGTTGTTTTCAGAATGGCAACAAAAAGATTATTCAATTTGTGTTGTTTTCAGAATGGCAACAAAAAGATTATTCAATTTTTGTTGTTTTCAGAATGACAACAAAAAGATTATTCAAATTTTGTTGTTTTCAGAATGGCAACAAAAAGATTATTCAATTTTTGTTGTTTTCAGAATGGCAAAAAAGGATTATTCAATTTTTGTTGTTTTCAGAATGGCAACAAAAAGATTATTCAATTTTTGTTGTTTTCAGAATGGCAACAAAAAGATTATTCAATTTTTGTTGTTTTCAGAATGGCAACAAAAAGATTATTCAATTTTTGTTGTTTTCAGAATGGCAACAAAACGATTATTCAATTTTTGTTGTTTTCAGAATGGCAACAAAAAGATTATTCAATTTTTGTTGTTTTCAGAATGCCAACAAAAAGATTATTCAATTTTTGTTGTTTTCAGAATGGCAACAAAACGATTATTCAATTTTTGTTGTTTTCAGAATGGCAACAAAAAGATTATTCAATTTTTGTTTTTTCAGAATGGCAACAAAAAGATTATTCAATTTTTGTTGTTTTCAGAATGGCAACAAAAAGATTATTCAATTTTTGTTTTTTCAGAATGGCAACAAAAAGATTATTCAATTTTTGTTGTTTTCAGAATGGCAACAAAAAGATTATTCAATTTTTGTTGTTTCCGGAATAGCAACAAAAAGATTATTCAATTTTTGTGTTTCTTAGAATGGCAACATAAGATTATTAATGATATTGTTCTAAAGAGTTGTTTACATTTGCCAAAAACGAAATAAATATAATTTTTGATTTAAAACGTGGATTGACGTTGTTTAATGAAACGGAGTTGTAAAAATAAAGATTAACTTGGAGTCAGAGACAATATAAAGCATTTATCAGTTTTTGATTAACAAAATCAGCGATTTCAAAGCAAGCAATGGCAACACCGTACGGAAAAAAAAAAAAAAATATATATATATATATATATCCAGCGCGCGAGACAGTGTATCGGAAATTCTAAAGATATGCCATTTTTTATATTATTTTGCGATATTATTGTTGAACTGAATTTTATAGTTTAATAAGTGCGAAGATCATGATATTTAATAAATAAAGGTAACACGCAAAACGTTAAGAAAACGCCCCCTTTGGGCGTAATATATAATCTGAAAGCTTTCAGATTTTTTTATTTTTTATGTTTATTTCTGTGCATTATTTTTAAAGAAATTAAATAATGAAAAATCTGCGCGTACATATGTATGTTCCTTGAATTAACAAAAAAAAAAAAAAAAAAAAAAAAAAAAAAACCGCCGGTAGAGACATCAAAGACTGTAGCCATCAGGTTTTGAATAACATAGTCTTCGATCTAAGCATGAGCCCTTGGAATTTCGAATTTGTTTTATTATTTATTTCATATTTTGTAAAATTATACTGATGTTTTTGATTAACAAACTCAATAATTTAAAAGCGAGCAAGGGCTACACTTTTCGAAAAAGAGCACTTTTATCCCCAGCGTGAGATGTTATTGCCGTTGGGAAAAATATATTTATCTTTTAAATTTAACTAGTATACCTTTCAATTTTAGTTACCAAATTCAGCCGTGTGAAAAATATATTTTGCATTTGCCGAAAATAAATTACTTTTATCTTCCACGCGACAGAGTGTTGCCATCTAGTAGTCTAAGATACTTTCAAATTTAATCTAAAAGGTAATAAAATATAACCATGTGATTGATTTAAATAAACGTATAGTAAAATGATAAGATGTCTAACTAAAATATAATCAATATTTTTCTGAAATAAAACTTACCGGAATCACTAAAATCATTCTTTTTTTTTTTTTTTTTTTTTACTTGTTTATGATAATTGTTTTAGGTGGCTAGTTTTAAAATAAAAATATTATAGCTAATATAAAAATATGTATGGCAACTTCTAACACTCTATCGGGAATTCTGAAGATAAGATGTTTTTAAATATTATGTTATTTTGCTGTTGAAATGAATTTTATGTGACGTGAATGCGAAGAATATATTTAATAAATAAAGTTAACACATAAAACGTTAACAGTGAAGAGACAAAGAAATTGTCAGCCACCTTACGAAGAACACTGAATATTCATGCGATAAACTGAGAAAAGACTGGAAAAATATACAAAAATATATGTTAACACTTAATACTACATCGTGAATTCTAAACATATGCTGCTATGCAGCTTTAATTTTTTTTTTTTTTTTTTTTTTTTTTTTTTTTTGTTTTTGTTTAGCTATATGTGGCGCCAGTGCGAAGAAAGCGATGCTTAACAGCAAAGCTAAAAAGACAAAAAAAAAAAAAAATGGGTTGGCAAGAGTTGTGTGTAAGATCAGACTGCGAGCATAGCGAGAACGCAAAAAACCTTAATAATTCCTTCCGGTTCATCGTTAAAATCTGAAACCTTTCAGATTTCATTTTTTTTTTCCCATCAAAAACATCTTAGTCCACCAGGGGAATTTAAACACTTTTAGCGCACAAACTTCTGCAGCTGAATATTGCAGCTTTTTCTATTTCAGAGCATCTGAGACGTATAGTCATTCTTAAAATATTTAAAGTAAAAGCGTTCCCCGATTATTCTATAGATTGGTGCTCAGAGAACAGACGAACACCAAAAATCGTTAATAAAACAATATGGACTTTTCATTTAATAAACGTGCAAAGATAAATAAATAGTATCCTATACATTTAAATGTTTGCAAAAGCTACATAACATATTTGAAATGTACAAAAAAAGCACTAACGTAAATAGAAGTATTTGAATACTTAGGTTCTTTTCGTGAACAAAATTAGCTGAGATATGGAAAGCATAGAATGCCTATACCGCTATTGAACATGCAACCAACTCGTTGCAAATTGAATTTACTATACGCAAAAATAATTTAACTGCAAAGCAAATTTACTATACGTACAAATGTATAAAAAATACGTTGAAATTACTTCTCTCCCCCTCCCACAAAAAAAAAAACGTTTTTAATAAAATTTCAGAAATTCTGTTCGTTTCTCAATCTTTTGTGAATCGTCTAGTTCATTTTTGTTTTCATCAAATTTTATTATCAATAAAAAATTATTCCTCCAAAATTTTTCGTAAATCAGCATCACATATAACATATAACTTTCTCAAAATCCCCATAAAAACTTGAGCATGTTTAATGAACTACAAAAATATTCAATCATTTATGTTATTAATATTAATTAATAAACTGGATAATTAATAAGATTATCATATTGATTACTACAAAACAATATGAAAGGACATGGAAATAAATTATGGAATTTCATAAATATATAATTATTTTTTTTTTCATTTTGCTTATGAAACTGATAATATCGCATTAGAAGACTAATCTTTAATATCAGAGTTTAACTAATAACAAAAGTTTCTTACCAAGCATTTTGATTATTCCTTTCCGGTTACGATTAGCGCTCTCTTTTTTGTTATTTCTTGCACTGGAGTCAAAGTCCTTTGACAGTACCTTTTGATTTACGAAGCAGGTTTTCCCCATGGCTAACGGCAAGCGCAGTTGGAGCCCAATCTTGATGTAAAGTGAAAATATGATGACCAGTGGGACCCAGAAAAACAACAGCGACGAAACAAGAAATGCATGGTTCATGGGTCTCTTGAGGGCGCATACGGCTGTGTGCCACATGATTTCACCAGTAATGGACATCCTGTATATGACACCAAACTGAAGAGAAACAGGCATTGCGCAGATTGCAGACAGTACCCAAACTACCACTGTGGTTTTGACTGCTCTGGACAAGCTGGACATGGCATGGGCTTTGAGGGGATGGCAAATTGCCACGTATCTCTCAACTGTGAAAGCTGTGATTGTCAGTATAGATGCGTATGTTGACGTCTCAGCAGTTAATCCACGTATGATGCACATTGCTTCCCCCAAGGAATACGGCTGTGGTACCCATAACTGGTAAACTTCTTGAGGAAGCCCCATAATCAGCAATAACAAGTCACTCACAGCCAGGCTGAAGAGATAATAGTTAGTGGCGGTATGCATATAAGTGTTACGAGCAATTACGATGCACGTGCAGATGTTACCAACGACACCTGTCACTAACAAAACAGCGTATACTACAGTCATAGCTATGATGATTGTAAAGTTCTGTTGAAGATCGAAGGTGTCTTCAGCATAGTTTTCTTGCCACCATATCACGTTGTTTAGCATATCATTTGTCAAGTTTTTCGTGTCGATACTCTTATTGAAGAGCAAAAAAATCGAGTTTTCGATTTCCGCCATCTTAAATGAAGAATTCGACGCAGTACTTGATTTACTCTAAATGGTTTGGGAATTTTTACATAATTTTATCGCTTTTTCCCGTTAGTTAATATCTGGATTTTAAAATCAAAGTATTTTCAAGAATTTCTCTACGTAAAATTTAAGTTAATAAATAAAAAAAAGTGTTTTTAATTTTTTAATAATATTAATTAAGGTTTCTTTAATGTAATATATTTATACATATATAAAGCCTAATGCTTAAAATGATTTATGGCAAAAAACGTCAAATTAAATCTCACAATTAATTATTAGTAATTAATAAGTTACGGATAATTTTAAAGTATGAGCATGGGGTGTTGACTTTGTTATTAACTAAGCTAAAGAATAAATTATGAATATTACTAGGAAAATTTAAGACATTTTCGCATATAAAATTTGTTTACTTATTCGGAATAAAAATTACAATAGCAAAGAATTATGGAAACGCCAATTTATAATTATTTTCTTAACAAATTACAAAAAAAAAAAAAAAAAAAAAAAAAAAAAAATTGGAATAATTTCCGAATTCACTCTTTGGAAAACGAGCAGTTAATATAATTCAATCTATTATTATTCAATCAATTAATACAATAATATAATTCAATCTTTTAGAATGTAAGCTTGCTTATCAATCAAAGAAAACCTTTTATCGAATATAGAGATGTATTTGAAAGGAATTTAATTTATTTTATGCACACAAATATAATTTTTTATTTTAAATACAAATTTAAAAATAAACTTTTAAAAGAAATATTGAAAAATATAATAATAAATCTAATTTGTTAAGTACATGTAAGTTAATTCAACTTATTATATTCACTAATTAACTGCATTAAATTTAAGATTAGAATATATATAATTTTCATGCAGCTTAAATGCCAAGCTTATATTCTTTCTTACCTCCAGAAGTCTACACAACAGCTTATAAATTATTAAGCTTTCGAATTAATTTCTACCATTACCTATCATAACAAAAAATATTTAAGCTGTAGCTCATATTAAGCATTTTCGAATGTTTAAAGAGATACTATTATTTTTTTTTTTTTTTTTCAATTTGACTCATTTGTTTGAAGAGCATAAATGTAAACATAATATTCAGTTTTTGATATTTAACAATTCTTTTCAAAGAAGTCTTTATGACAAGGATTTAGAAAGAGTATTCCTAAATTATCATAAATAAATCTTATTGCTATTTTATTCCTCAAATATTCTTTTAAATTTTGTTATTTCACATTTTCTTTCGAGAAAAATCACGTACTGAATATATTCATCATCTATGATATTAAATGATAAACACACTTTCATAAGCGCTATCCGAATGTCAACAGTTCAATATCGTTTACCTCATCCTTGGACCAAATCCACCGCCACTTCTAAACTGCTCGCGTGCTGAGAGCTAAGCAGAAAACAGTAACAGATTCTCTGACTTGATATATTACTGCAGCGCCATCTGTGGGAACTTTCGAATGATAAAAATGTAAAGAAAATGCAAGAGTTCAGCGAAGATTTATAATCTTTGGGTAACTAAATGCTTCTTTTAAACAGTAATTTTTTGCTTTCTACCTGTAAAAGTTAAAGTACATTCAAAACAGACGATTTTTAAATCGATTGGGTCATATAAACAATTATATTTCCGTTTATTAGAATATCATTTAGAAGCAATTTTATAAGAATTTTTCCAATTTTTCTCAGGCTTTATGTTATGTTAAACTACATGCCATTTATCAACCATGTTGATATATATCAACCATGTTGATGCATGTATTGCCATAGCAATAGATGTAATTTATCTTCCATGCGATTTGACAAACAGATAGTTTCCAAAGTGGTGTTCTTCGACGGAATTATCTTGAATTTATTTCTTCAGTTCTAAATTCTAAACAAAGAAGTTCTATAATAAATCATTGTTTTAAATTTGAGATATAAAGCCAACTAATGGAAAAGTTTATTATAACTCAAAGTTGTAATTGTTATTAATCTTTGTAGCGCTATTACTTATCTATTACAATACTATTAAAATTATTTATACTATTAAAATCCGTATGCGTCTGTCCGTGTGTCTGTTTGTGGCATTATCTTCTCCGGAACGGTGAGGAATTGGATTTCGAGACAGATAAACCCGCATTACAAAAAAATTCGTGGAAAGGCATTTCGAATATTCTCACCTTCGTACGACTTTAATTAGTGGAAATATTAATTAAAAACTTTCTGAGCGGCAACAGTCCCGCGCACTGGAGATAAAAATTTGTTTTATTTTGAAAAGTGTTGCCACTGATCGCTTTCAACTGGTTTATTTGATCACGGCAAAACACAGTAGGGCTCTCTGTCTAAGCGGAGGGATGCCTTCGTGGAGGACTTTCTAAGAGATATTGGCTCTTATACACGTTTACACATGGAGAAAACTACAGAAACACCCATGTACGAACCTAAATTCACCAGAATTCCCGAAATACCAGTGTTCAGCGACTTTACCGCTCGGCCATTTGTGGGCCCATTTCCGTGCTGTAATTATATTTGATTCATCTCCGTTTATTACTGTAAGAGTGACAATTCTAGAATTGATTTAAAAGTGTTCTAAAGATTATTATCTTTTTCTCTTAAGTAAATTGTGGGCCCATTTTAAAAATTCTTTATTATTTAAAACGTCATTAATGAAATTTGTTAATGAATGTATAGTTTTCTCCATTAAACAGGCATACATGGCATTGGAGAAAAATGCAAAAAGATTTAACTTTTCCATTAACGGAAATACCTGGTTTCTTCCTTGTACGAAGTAAAGGAAGTACTGCAATCACGAAAAATTCCGTTTATCGTATTTCAAAGAAAATATCCATTTTGACCGTTATTGAATGCAATTTAACGATGTTTTTGATGTTTTGTTCTGTACCTAAAGACAGAATAAAGGATCCTTTCTTCCCAAACGAATTATAAAACTAATTTAAAATGGATTCAAAAGAGATTTTTGTGACGTCTGTACGTACGTATATACCTGCGTATATATATGCGTACGCATATACGTATGCATGTATGTATCTATCTCGCATAACTCAAAAACGAATAGCCTCAGAACATTGCGATTTTGTATTAGGGACTACTATAACATGTAAATGCGTACCTCCCTTTTTGGTTGCAATAGGCAGCACCAAAAGTATATAAATATATGTATATCTCGCTTAATATTTCAAAACAATTTATTACCTTGATGAACAATACATTTCATTAAGTATTATTCATTCACTACGATAGAACTATCAATTTTACATTCAGATATATCGTTAAGGCGCCCACAAATGGCTAAAGAGTAAAAGCCACTAAACACTGGTAGTTTGGTCGCGGGTTCGAGTCCCGGTGAAAGGGTTGTTTGCAGGGATATTTTCGTGATTTTGCCCATGTGCAACATTGATACGAGCTAGTTTCCCTTAAAAAGTCCTCCACGGGGCATCCCTTCCTTTCCGTGTAGTGTCTAACGTAATAAATAAATATAAATATACTGTTAAATGTTAAAAAAACATACAAAAGAGACAAACATAAAAGCTCCAAGTTGTTTTTTTTTCCTCATATCTCATTAAAATCCACCTATGTTGTTGCCAATGAATGTGGATCTTTAATGTAAAAAGAGAATTTTATAGGAGGAAGAAATTTTGGAAAGATATGGTAGAAGCATAGGATAATCTATTACTGCTTGCGGCAGAAAATCATATGATATCTTGTAAATTAAATTGTTGCACTCATAGCTTAGAACATAGTCAGGTACAGCAATTTAAGAAATAAACATTCTGACTTATGTGATTAATTTTAATGCAGCAAATCCGTTCTAAAAATGTGTAAACAGCTTCTTTGTAAGTCATTTGTAATTAATTATTATTAGGGTACATAACAGACTTCGTTTTTTTTTTTTTCATAAGACTGATTTTTTTAGTTTAAAACAATAATAAATTATTCATTTTGTTGTGAAACGTATTTAAGGCCTAAAATAAATATTTTGCATTTATTGCTTATTAACCCTAAAGGCTTCGTATTTTTTGCTTTGAAAATGATTGAATTTTATTGTTATTATCTTCCGGTTAAGGCTTTTATATCTTTAGTTAACCTGCACGTTATAGTTGTAAAATTATCAACAACTGAAAAGTTGTTGCTTAATTTTTTTACCACAGCAGCCATTTTTGTTTGCATTTGAAACTTTGCAAAATAGTGGATTTCTAGCCAATCTAGAGAAACTAAGCTTCGCAACAACAAAGTAGTGTCTACTTTTATTATTGAGAATCAAATTATGCTTAACCCTTCTGTAATTATCATTTAAGTTATTACACTATTCCATATATTGACTCAACTCAGTGTTCGCAACAAATCAAGTCAGTTTCTGCACATTCAGTGTCTTTTTGCCGGGAGAGACCAACAGTAAACTAGTTTTGTGCACCGAAAAATATGCCTTTTTGCACGCTGGCCAAATTGCTTGTTTTTGCGTAAAAATTGCAATTTTAATTGTAAAAAAAATTTCATTGTTTTAACTATATGTGGTGTTTTATGTATTTCTATATCTTTTAGGTTTTAATACAGATATTTTGAGTTTTTGTGTATTTTTGCCTTCTCGCGAAGTGAGAACTGAATTAACTAAATGCGAAATGTACAGGGGTTGGACAAAAATATGGAAACACTTTTAAAAATACATGTCTTTTTTTTGCTTAATATGGTGGAAAACCCGTGGCATCCAACAGCTTGCAGTCTTCTCGACGGATAAATACATTTTCCCGTATTTTGCTAAGCTGTGTGAACAAGAGGCTTTGTCGTCTTGGGAAGACACCATCACCATCGGGGAACAAGGTTTGTACCAT